TTCAAGTCTATGCTCCAACTACAGATGCACCGTTCATAGTACAAACTCTAGCTGTTTAGGGCTTTATAGGTTAAAACCAGCACTTTAAATTGTGCCTGGAACAAGGCAGAAAACCTTTTCCATAGTGAAAACATATCATGTTGTAGCAGTGAAAGGCTCAGGAGCCTGGTTAGGGGTGTGTGTGTTGGGGGAAGGAAATATCTTGGTATCTCCACTCAATGTTTTCATTACAAGAGTATTTATAGTCTTCAATATAGTGTAAAAAAGGGCATACTAAAAGATATAAGTTGACATCCAGTTGTAAATTGCACTAGAGTAAGCCCATTTGAATCAATAAGAATTACAGAAGAGTTCACTCATCAAATGCTCCCTAATTTAATGGGCTGACTCTTGTGTGATTTACTATGCTAAGCCACAGCCTCAGTTCACCCTTTTCTTTATTAGCAGCACTGTGATATTTTTGGGAAAGGAAAAAAAGAGGGAAATTAATTAGCTCTTTCAGGGTCTCACAGCAAATTGCTGGCATCAGTAGGAACCTAATGTTAAAGCCTTGCTGGTAGGATTTTTTTTTTTTAAAAAAACTTGCTTTTGAATAAGAATATAATTGTGTATTGCAATTATGAAATTGCTTTCAACACTCTTCTATGCAATGCTAGCAATTTCCTTGAAAGGTAATGTTGTTTTCATCAATATGTGTGGAACCCATCCAAGACTATACAATCACTTAGGCTTGTATGTGTCATTTTGCTGATCAAGGCACCATCTCAGTGTATCTTCATCTGTCTATCATTCTAGGAAAACTAAAGGTCATAAACAAAGAGAGAGACGGTAATCTGGATTAGCCATAAAGTGTCTTTAGCCAGGTGCACTATCTGATATTTGAAGTAGGTTAATAATTCCAGTTTATCAAAAAGTTCCAACACTCTGCCCATGTGGAACTGGCTTCACTTTAAAAAAATTCCAGGAATTTCTTCTCTTTCTCTTCTTTCTGCCTTAATACCTCTGTGTACATACATGTCATCCTTCCAGCATCATTTTTGCCCTACTTCTTTCCAGAATTAGGCAAAGAATAATCTTGCATTCTCTCTTGTCTGGATCTCTGGAGGTCAGGGCCTTTTCAGTGGCTTCTCCCAGCCCGTAGAACTCCCTTCCAGGGAAGCTAGGCTGACCCCCTTTTTGTTATAAACTACCATAGATCCTGGAAGGGGGAAAGGTTAATAAATAAAATAGACCTAGAAAACAAATGGAAGGGAAGCATACCAAGGCCATTTATACCTCTGCTGTTCTCCATACCCAGCAATTCAGATCACTTGATAAACATGTACAGCCTGATAACAAAAATCCTTTATCCGTCATGATATGCTGACAGGGGATTGCCTCCTGCCCCCTCCCTAATTCTGCATTTCTGCTGCCAGAATCTGTGCAACAAGAAGTCTCATGAGTTGTGGTGCTGGCACTCCACTGCCTATCTGGGTCCAGTCTGCACAATGGACTCAAGTGCATGCACCAAGAGTTATTCTTCCCATTCACCTTCTCACACTGCTAAGATTACTGGGATTCTGGGGTGCAAATATTGTGCAAGGATGCCTTCAGAACCAAGCTCTGGTGTCATCTCTGGATCGAGATGGATGCTCAGGTTTTACACTCCCCCAATCTTTTGCTTTTCTATTCAACTAGAAAACAAAACATCAAAATGTTGTGGCATCTTAAAAACGTTTATATTTTCATGTGAGCTCTTGTGGGTTTAGTCCACTTTCTCAGATACCCTTATTGTTGCACATCCTGAGATTTGTCTTCTCACCTGGAGAAGCAATTGGGGGGGGGTGTCAGAAAGAGCACTACTCCCTGATGCTCTTGAGACCTGTCCCCTTGTTTCTGCTCTAGACCACATATAAATTGCCCCACTAGTGTTTTCTCTAGAAAACGTATGATGAACTGAACTGAACTGAACCCTAATTGAGAAACCAGCTGGAAGAAACAGTTTAGGAAGTAGATTGCCATGGAGATGAAACCACAGGAATAAAACAAAGGTGATTGACTGAATGTATTCTAGCAAAAAGGCTTTCCCAGTGACCACCTCCACTATCTGGAATTGGCTAGCCTGTTGTTCTTTTGCAGGTGGAGATGTTAAGAAGAGAAATTCTGTATGTACAGAGTGTTAATAAAAATAAGGGGAGTATAATAAAAATAGGACTCAAAATGAAAATGCTTTTAAATTGAGGCTTGAACAATAGTTCACTTTAGTCTTTGCAAAACATTTGGCAAGCTTTCAGCCAAGCAAGCTCATGGTACCATGACAATCATGGCAGTTGTACTGGTTATGTTGCCTTGTGTAAATATGGAGGTGATGTTTGCAAGAGCTTGCACTCTTTACAGTTCCAATTGTGTAAATATGGAGGTGATGTTTGCAAGTCTTATAGCTTGCACTCTTTACAGTTCCAGTACTCTGGAGATACAACATTCTGGCATTCCAGGACCTTAGATTTACAATATCTTGGAACTGCAGATGCTTCATGCTACAGGCCTTTTTCCCTGCAGGCACTGCAGCAATTGTACTCAGAACAATAACTTTATAATCATAGTGGCAGCTTGCAATATATTAAGTTACAGGTTCCTGGACTTATAAACTCTGCAGGAACAATTGTGGTTCCTATTGAAAAAAATTCTTGGTACTCAAGACCCCTAAACCTCCAAGTCCTGCAGAAAGGAATATTTAAAATTAATAATAAAAAAAAAATAAAGATATAAATGCCAAAAAAGATAGCTAGAGAAAGGAGCAAATAATGCCAGGAGAGCACCATTAGAGGAGAGAAAACTCTCTGTGTAATTTTTTTCCTATATACTGATATGATTTTATAACTGCTTGTGTTTTAGTTTAGTTCATTAACTACATTGTCAGTTAAAATATTTTCATAGATGCAACTTAATTGTGAGATAATTTTTAGAGAATATGCCTCTGTAATACTTTTTATTTTGTAAGACTCTATATACAGTCTTATTATTTCATTCTCAAGCTCCCTATTAATTTTTGTAAGAGTATTTTTTCAGTTTTGTTAATTATGTTTTTCATTTAGTTAATTAAGTTTTCATAGTCTTATAACATACTCCTATAACATTGTATTAGGGTTTTATCATTTTTAGATATTCAGTTGACAATAGTATAACACATTTATATCTGTTTGCATATGCCTATTCAGTAAAAATAATTTTAAAAAGGTAGAGGTGTTCTTGGGCATTCAGTTTGTCTGTCTTACTTGGGGCAAATAAGTTAAAGGATATCCAGAAGAAGGGGAAATGATAACATATTTCTTTGGGTCATTCTGGAGTTAATCCTTCGGGCATAAACGCCAGCTATGATGAACACAGGCTTCTGGATTTTCCCTGTAGGCCTATAAGTCCTATAGGGCTCTTAGGGAGAGGTTTAGGCATCAATTTATTGGACCTGACAGGGGACTTGGGGCAAATAAGTTAAAGGATATCCAGAAGAAGGGGAAATGATAACATATTTCTTTGGGTCATTCTGGAGTTAATCCTTCGGGCATAAACGCCAGCTATGATGAACACAGGCTTCTGGATTTTCCCTGTAGGCCTATAAGTCCTATAGGGCTCTTAGGGAGAGGTTCAGGCATCAATTTATTGGACCTGACAGGGAAAGACTATTTTATTTAAGCAGGTGTTGGCAGTTGATTGGGTTCGGTGTTGTACTTCAGTGAAGCATTTTGTTAAGCAGGTGTTGGCAGTTGATTGGGTTCAGTGTTGTACTTCAATGAAGCATTTTGTTTGTTTTTATTGTATTGTTCTACTAGTTGACTTTGCTTAAGGAGTGAATTGCATTTTTGTTACTCTAATATTACAGTGAGCCACCTGAAGTCCCACTTTAGGAATCAAAAGTGGATTAGTAAACCAGATAAACCTTTCTCAGCCTTACCTGGAGATGCCAAGAACAAAATGTGGAGATGGCCACAGAGGTACAACCCTCCTGCCTTCTGCTAGTCATGACAGTAGAGTAGGTGTTTTACCACAATTCTTCCAATGTTAAAATGGAACTCTCACCTCAGCTGCTGAAGAGCTGTATATGTGTGCCCTTTGGAACAGTATGTTTTTCCAGTAATAAAAAAATAGTAAATCTGTGTAGGCTACAACAGTGGGAAAACCAAAACAGTGGAAAAAGGAATTAACACAACATTTCAAATATATATATATATTTTAAAAAACAAATAAACCCTACAAAAATCCAATTCAAATAGGTTTTTCTTTTCTTTTTTAAAGACACTACTCAGATTTATATTAGGAACTTTATTATGGTTCAGCATCATCTTTTAAAATAATTTCTGTAATCAAAGTAAGAGTATAGCCCATTTTTATTACATATTACAATCCTTATCTGCCAGCATGCAGAGGGTAAAATACAATCACACGGGTAAATATTCACTTTTTTGTAAAGCAGAAGAGAGAGAAAACTGAATGATAAAATATGGTTTTGCTTTATAAGAAAGCTACCTTCATTGACAGATTTAACAGGAGTTTTATTCAGTGAAATCCAGATTGTCTCAATTTAAACTTAAATGATGAACACTGGCTAGGAAGAGTTTGTAGCTGGAACAGAATATAAAAATCAGAATATGAAGTGATGTGGCTTCATCAGCCATTAATTATGAGTGAGGAATCTTGAAGGAAAAATTGAACTTACATTTTTAATAGCATTTCCAAAACAACCACAACTCCTAGAGCCCTTAATATCAACAAACCACAGTTCAGTCCATTGAGGTGTGCAGAGCTGGGAAATCCTGGTGCAATTAGACAGGGAAACAGCTCACATTTTGGATCATTTGTGGCATGGTTCAATGTAAACTATTTCCTGTGATCACATGGCACATAGGAAATTGAGGACCTCCTCCCCCGGACCTTGATCTGTACTCAAGCTGGACCTTTTTGTAGAGCAGCAGAGCTACTGTTTATGGAGCGACGCTGGAGCAATGGGAGGGCTGCTTTAAGGGAGGTCACTCCCAGCAAAGAAACCTTTTTTCAGTGTGATCAACCACAATCCCTTCTCATTTTTTTGATTGTACCATTTGTTTCTTAAAGTCCTTAGGGTTCCCTGAAGCAGGGGATTGGCTTCTTCAGAGCATATTCTGAAGTTCACCACAAGGATTATTAAACTTTTTATAACAAAACTGAAAGGAAGCCCAATATTTTTATTTCCATACTGCAGATGGGGAGCTGAGTCCCAGCTTATGGGAAACAGCAGCGTGCTGAAAGGGATCTTCAGAGTTTACACATGACATGAGATCTGAGGTGGCTACCTTCTTGACCAAACTTCATTTTATCCGCCAGTGTATACTGCAACATGTAGGCACAACTTCTACTACAGAATGATCAAGGTGCCACCTGATGCAGAATCATTTCCCACCAGGATTAATTCCGTTAACAAGCTCTCTAGAGGGAAATGATCACATTTTCCTAAGCACCCAATAGGGGATTTTTCAGGGTTTGGGACTCGAGTTGCAGGATGCTGTCAAGTCATACTTAAGTTGCAACAATCATTCAACTCAGACTTTACTCAATGCTGTCAAGTCATACTTAAGTTGCAACAGTCACTCCACTCAGACTTTACTCAGGATGTTTTTTTCAATGATTCAGACTTGACTCATGACTTGGAACCAACCCCTCCCCTTTTTTGGGGGGGAGGAGCTTGTTTTTAATAGGGACTTGGGTTTGGAGTTCGGGACTTGGTACTAAAGAGGCGGACTTGACCTTGTTGCTTCTATTTTATATTATCTGCGTTAGCCGCCCAGAGTAGTCAGTTGACTACTGTGGCAGTGTACAAATTCAATCAATCAATCAATCAATCAATCAATCAATCAATCAACCAATCAATCAATCAATCAATCAATCAATCAATCAATCAATCAATCAATAAATTGAGACTTGCTACTAAAGACTCAGACTTGGACCCAAAAACTTGCCAACATCCCTGGAATTTTGTGAATGCAGAAATGTGGAGTAACTACAACAGCTGTGAAATGCTGAAGGCAAGTGTGAGGATTTCATGCCCCCTGGCCCACACAAAATTGTTCTGGAATCCCTTGGAAGGACACTGGGATGTATGTATGAATAGTCCACTCTTCTGATATGTTGCCAATGAGCTTCACATAAAGTAAAAGTCTGCTGAGATAATGACTTATCTACATGTTCTTTCTTCTTTTCTCTTCCCCTCTGCCTGAACAATTTGAATGTATGCTGCAAGAGTCTTTGGTTCCACACACATTTTATTTCATGATGATGATTAAAAAAACCCCACTACTCTGTTGTCATGCAAATGCAAGGATTCTCCCTGTACTAGAACCCAGCCCCCTGCAAGGAAAGTTCAGATAACTGGACAAAAAAGTGGTTGTTGAATGGAAGGCTTATCATTGAAAGTTGTCCATGGTGGAGTGATATTTAGCAAAACATTAACAAAACTAAATGCCATTGGACCTGAGGTAGAATTTGGCTGTAGAAATGCTTCATTCTGTCAAAGAAAAAAAGCAAGACATTAGACCAGAGAGGTTAAAACATCCATCCAAATCAGTGGCTCCCAAACAATGCTCAGAACTCTTTGTCATTGACCATACTGGCTAGATCTTTTGAGAGTTGAGTTACAACAACAACTATGTCCCCATTTAAATGCTTTAGGCAAGGACTCTGATCATTCCTGACTGTTGGCTGCAGCTAATGGAACTTGAGATCCAAAGCCTTTGGGGTACCACAAACTTATCTCTGCATTAAAGTACTGCTACTACAACAAACAAACTAGTTATAGGGGATGTGTTACAATCCTTGGTTTCTTTCCAGGATACTATGACATACATAGTCTTACCATTGGTATGCCAGAGAGGAATGAATAACATTGTATTCCTAACACTCAATGCGATGCAGTCATACATGCTGGAGGGAGCCAATCAGTCTATGCATTTCCGTGGATGACAGAATCACCTGCATCTATAGCAGTGCTATCACACAGAAACAGAGGCTGGGCATGACCCAGATCTCTGATTCTTAATTAGCAATCCATCTACTAGGTTACAGCAGCTGAAATCCTGTTGTTTAGTGTAGTAAGTCAGAACTAGAGTAGACCCACTGAATTAGTAGAGATTAGATGGGTCAACTCCTCCATAAGCTCCACTGATTCAATGGGCCTATTTTAGTTGAGACTTATTACGCTAAACAACAGAACATCAGCCAATATGTAGTAAAGACACCAATACCATTACGACCAATGAGCTGGCAAAACCAATTCGATGACACTTTAACTGTCATGGCTCCATCTTATGTAATCGCAGGACTGAAGTCCATAGAATTTTCTGACATAAATCAAGAAGGGTGCTTTAAAGTTCTCTAGCAAAGAATGCAATGTGTTGCATGGAGCTGTGACAATTAAAGTTGGCTGCAGCTAATGGGACTTGAGAGTAGTGTAGTGTAGATACTGTGTAGTGTAGATACTCTGCTGAGGTGGGGAGTTTCAGATTATGGTCTATTTCATGTGGACTGAAGAGCTGCTGCAAAGAGAGACTGAACGAGAGAAATAGAGAGAGTGTGTTATACAATTTTGCAGTACAGTATATTAAACTGCACCAATATTTGGCCTTCAGCTGAAATCCTGTTGTTTAGTGTAGTAAGTCAGAACTAGAGTAGACCCACTGAATTAGCAGAGATTAGATGGGTCAACTCCTCCATAAGCTCCACTGATTCAATGGGCCTATTTTAGTTGAGACTTATTACGCTAAACAACAGAACATCAGCCAATATGTAGTAAAGACACCAATACCATTACGACCAATGAGCTGGCAAAACCAATTGGATGACATTTTAACTGTCATGGCTCCATCTTATGTAATCGCAGGACTGAAGTCCATAGAATTTTCTGACATAAATCAAGAAGGGTGCTTTAAAGTTCTCTAGCAAAGAATGCAATGTGTTGCATGGAGCTGTGACAATTAAAGTGGCATCAAAGTGCTCTGGTTAGTTGAGACTTATTACGCTAAACAACAGAACATCAGCCAATATGTAGTAAAGACACCAATACCATTACGACCAATGAGCTGGCAAAACCAATTCGATGACACTTTAACTGTCATGGCTCCATCTTATGTAATTGCAGGACTGAAGTCCATATAATTTTCTGACATAAATCAAGAAGGGTGCTTTAAAGTTCTCTAGCAGAGAATGCAATGTGTTGCATGGAGCTGTGACAATTAAAGTTGGCTGCAGCTAATGGGACTTGAGAGTAGTGTAGTGTAGATACTGTGTAGTGTAGATACTCTGCTGAGGTGGGGAGTTTCAGATTATGGTCTATTTCATGTGGACTGAAGAGCTGCTGCAAAGAGAGACTGAACGAGAGAAATATTAAGAGTGTGTTATACAATTTTGCAGTACAGTATATTAAACTGCACCAATATTTGGCCTTGGCCTCTCCCACTACTAACTCTGTGTTCCAACCAGTTTTTCTTGTGGCTCAACAGCTTTTCAGAAGACTAAGGCTTTGATACATATTTTGCCAAGTAGATGTTACTAGTACTGTATTGTGTATGTGTCATAACTGGCAAAGGAGTGGAAGATAAGGCATCAGAAACATGTTATCAGTAACAACGGGCAGTACTGCGAAGGATTACAGAGAGGCAGAACACATTTCTGAAACTAGCCCTTTGCTCCTGTTGTGGGAAGACTGCAACATGCACTAGATTAAGGAGACTTTCTTTCTTTACTACCATTAATGTGTTAATGCTACAATTACATATACTGTATATGTGTATCAACATGCACTAGATTAAGAAGACTTTCTTTCTTTACTACCATTAATGTGTTAATGCTACAATTACATATATATGTGTATTTGCAAGTATGTATTGTCCAACACTGTGCCTCCATTTCTAGTCATGTTTAAAGCCTACCTTGGATTACGGAACTTGCAGGTATGCATTTAATGTCAGCTTCATGTGTAGATATTATTAAATTATGTAATGTTTAACTCTATGCTCTGAAAACTACTGTTTGCTGATTTTTGCTCATCAGCATGCTGTAAACTTCACAGGAGAAGGCAAAGATATTAGTCAGATAATAGCCCTTGAAATGGTTTATTGCCTCCGCTCTGCAAATCCTTGTACCACCAAAATATGTAGCGGATTATTATTATTTTTTGCTTTCCCGTCCCCACTTTGGGCAATTCACACTCTGTTTTGGGTTCTCAGCACACATATACAGGATCATCAAGTTCTTTCTTACTTTCTTTTGAGGGAAAGATCCTTGAATGGTTTGTCTCTCATTTAAATCACCACTGTCTCACAGATTATAATAAATATCGAATCTAACAGTGCTACAATGTTCCTTTATTCAGAAGACCTTGGGGTGGGGAATCTGTAGTTCCGCAAATGTTGTTGAATTGCAACTCTCATCACCTGGAGTCTAACCAGTGTGGCTACCAACCAGTTTTGATGGGAGTTGCTGTCCAGGAACATCTGGGAAGCCACAGACACTGCATTTCTGGTTTTGACTTCTTGCTCTGCCAGCTGTGGAGAGCAAGGCTCAACTAATGTTATTAGAAAGAATTTTTCTCTTTGATCAGTTTTGAACACAGGCATCACCACAGACTGACTAAAAATGTCTGATGGCCAATAGCGGTCTTCACTATGTCTTGAAAGTGGGGCCCAGGGAGCGGTTGGTTGTGGTTCAGAGGGGACCATCTCAAATCACATTTTCAGTGTGAGAAGCTCCCTCTCTGCATGGAAAATGAGTCACTAATCCCTGAAACTGTTATACATGGTTCCTGTGGATATAAGAGTACCATTCTTTGAGGCTCCTTTCTATGGTCTTTGTGCCAAGAATCCATCCTGCATCCCAAAAATTAAATCCTGGACATTTAATGTTACCTTCATACAATCCTTTATATTCTAAACAAATTTGCTGCAGTTTAGTTCGTCTGAGGGATTTTCCTGCCTTTAAAATCGTATGACAAATGGCAAAGAGAATATATCCATCCTCTTCTGCAGTTACCCAACAGTGCCTCTCACTGGATCCTAGTTAATTAGTATTGTCCTTATGTTCACGCCATAGTGATGTAATCTTTCCCCCTGCTGATATCCAAATCAGAAGCTGCAATTTCAGAAATGAAAGGAATACCAGCAAAGTCTTTCCCCTTCATATTCAAATTGGTGATGTCTCCGAGGCTGGAGACCAGTCCCAGCAACCTCCCTGTTGTTCCATCAATCTGACACATACAGAATGGGACACAGCTTCTGTTTCTCACCTTATTTGACTCTTGACTGCATTTAAGCAACTTAAATCAATTTAGATTTTACCATTTCACAGGGTAAAATTGATTTATATGTCCTGCAAAGCAAGTCCCCCTCCCCAGCTGTCTGGCAGGGGCTTTTAAAAACACTTCACTCCTAAAATCAATTACATTTGATGCAGTTTTGTGGATGTGAACACGGCTGTCATTTTAATTTGTGCTTATGTGGATTTTGGGTGGCACTGCATCACTTCCTCAATACATTCCACATTACAACCACCTACCCTATTCTCTCCATTCGGCTGATGAAGGAGCTGGTGGAGCAGCAGAAGACCAGTGGTGCAGAGTGAGCATATCTGAATATGGAGGACAGTTCACACAACAGGAGCATCGCCCAAAAAAGCCTCCCACCCCATTCTCATTTTTTTTTAATCATTAACCAGCTGGGGTCACCTCTCCAGTGTTTTCCCCCGTGGTTTCAAGTGATTATTATGACACCAGAAGGTACCTCCTAGACACTCAATTTATCAATGCTTTTTAAAAAAGAAAAGAAAATCAAAATCTTTAAGAACAATGTGTTCCTAAAACAGAAAGGAAATTATTCCGTTTCAGCAGTGTAGATGCAAAAACCAGTTTAAATCACCAAAAATAAATTCATTTCCATTTGTTGCATGTGGACACAGCCACATGTTTAAATACCATGTGACCTGAACCGGATTTTTAAAAAGTATGAACAGAAATTGGTCCATATTGCCTGTGTAACTCCAACCTCTGAGGACTGATTTAAAGCTGTGGCTGGCGATGGCTAGGAATGTTCAACAAGACTCGCTAAAAGAATTTTCTGCAAAACTCTCTTAACAGTTATCACTCCCATTAGCCCTTCAACTAGCAGAGAAGAAAAACAACTCTGAATTATGAGGATAGACTGCAGATTTAGCAGCTGGTGTAGTTTAGGGGATTCTTCATAAGTGTTGTCTGCTGTGGTTGTGACAGTCTCTGGAAGAATCCCATTCAACTAGAGCAATGCCTTTTAGAAAACAGAACACTTGGCCACCCTAACATTATCACTCCCATTAGCCCTTCAACTAGCAGAGAAGAAAAACAACTCTGAATTATGAGGATAGACTGCAGATTTAGCAGCTGGTGTAGTTTAGGGGATTCTTCATAAGTGTTGTCTTCTGTGGTTGTGACAGTCTCTGGAAGAATCCCATTCAACTAGAGCAATGCCTTTTAAAAAACAGAACACTTGGCCACCCTAACAGGGGAACATCTCACTGACTCCAGAAGGTCACATTCTATTCTTTTAGATGCACAAGAGTGCTGTAAACAAGTGCAGAGGTAAGTAGAGGAAGAACACTAAGATAGTGTCCTTGACATACCTTGTATATTCCAGATGATCAGTAACTGAATCTGCAGAGATAGTGTCAACTGGAAGATACTAGTGGGATAGGACTGCTGATAGTCATCGCTTAGCTAAGCTATGTAAGTGGCCAGAAGAATAAACTGGGATGAGAACAAAGAGAGAGCAGCAGCGTGACTACAGGCAGACACAGCAATTAATTCAACACGTTGCTTGCGAAGTAGGCTGTCATTATTGTTTCATGCCGTCAAGTCACCTCTGACTTATTGCAATCTATGAATGAGTGATCCCCAAAATGTTCTGTTCTCAGCAGCCCTGCTCAGCTCTTGTAAACTCAAAGCTGTGGTTCTTTGATGAACAATCCATCTCATATCTGGCCTTCCTCTTTTCCTGCCACCCTCAACTTTTTCCAGCAAAGACTGGCATAAGCTCATAGAACATTTGAGCTGGAAAGCACTTCAAGACCATCAAGTCTTACTCCCTGCTGAAGCAGGAAGATATATTCAATATTCATTTCATGTATTCTCTGACATGATCTCCTCCTTTAAGAGGAGGAGACAAACCTGTGGCCCTCCCACCTTTCCTCCAGTGATGTACACCAGTGGTTCTTAACCTTTGTTACTCAGGCGTTTTTGAACTGCAACTCCCAGAAACCCCAGCCAGCAGAGCTGATGGTGAAGGCTTCTGGGAGTTGCAGTCCAAAAACATCTGGGTAACAAAGGTTAAGAACCAGTGATATACACCAAGATGATGTACATGGTTGTTCTTCCTGCTTTATACTCATAACAATAAAAGAAAGAAGAACGTAAGTGGCTTAAGATCACCCACTTAAAATCATGACTCATTGGGGACTTGAACCTCAACTTCCCACATGGGAGTCCAAGATTCTACGTGTGACACCACACAAAGCCTCTTCAGCTTCCACCAACTCCTATGAACCCTAGCCATCATAGCCAATGCAAAGGGAACTGCAGTCTGACAACATCTGGGGGAGGGGGGAGGAACTCACACACTGTCCATCACTTCTCTAAGGCACTGCACCTCATTTTAGAGTTACCACTGCTGCCTGTGTGATCCAGTTTTCTGATTACACTCCATCTTTCATCGCTTCCTGGAAAGTGTGGAAATTCATTTTCCTCCATTCATCCTTGTAGTGACAAGAAAATGTAGATCGCTGAGTACTAGGCAGTGGTTAAGTGCTTATTATGACAGTTCCCAAAGCTAGTTCTCTTTCCCCACAAAAAGAGCCCAAAGATGCAGGCCACTGTTGGATTAATACCAACATGTGATTTTTAGCACTTTTTTTCCTCCCCACCAGGATGCACAGCTTTTGTAAAGCTAATAGCCCTTAATTGATTGCCCGGGATCAAACCACCTACAACTGCTTTATACTACAAGGACAGCATAAATCAATGGTTTGGGGAAAACCCGTTTCTTCCCCAGCTACTGTTTGAATTGTAGCTAAGCTTAGGATAGCTACTAAGGAGTGTGGCAAATGGTGTTATTGTCTCTGCTGATCACAAGTAATCACTACATCTACTGATTCTTGAGTTGGATCGTGCACTGGAGAAAGACAGGCTATAAATGAAATAAATAAAATACCAGCAAACCAGGCAGCCTCTTTTCAATTCTGAAACTAAGACCCCATGAAGGGAGGGGAACTCAGTGGGGACAATGATTTCCATTTTTTTCCAGCTGTCAGAAGGAGAGGAAACACCCTTTCCAATGCACACAGCTTTAAAAAGCAATCTAAGCAGTGTTGATGTCCAGGAGACAGGCCCTTTCAAACCTTCCAAAAGAACCATTCCAGCCAGTGGTTACTTAAGAGGCCCAACCCTTTAAAGAAATGACACAGCAGAAATCTGCAGCCAAAGGGGTTCCTTGCAGTACCCAGGGCTGTGGCATAAAAAAATATATGAAAAGAACAGATCAAGAGTGCTGGTACATTATGTGGCAGTTGAACCCTACCCCATGCTACAATGATAGCACAGTGATCTGATAGAAGCCCGAGGCTGCAGTCTTGCACATCATGCTGTCTGCATCTCAGTTGGGAGATAAGCAGGCAAACTATGAGCAGAATTGGAATTCAAGTCCATACAAATGCCCACCGGATAGATTGTCCTTTAAAAAAGAAAACCTGGATAGTTTTCTGCTACATGGATTTCCATGGGCAACATGTAGATCAGAAACCTTTTAATGTTTCACATGCATGAAACAAAACGGGTAAGGGTCCCCACCCTTTTGAAAGTGCTGTGCTTGCAATCCATAATACATACATATATTTTTAATATATATTTAACAATCACAGTTAATAAAATATGTTAACAGTTAGGATTTTCAATGACACCGGAGGCAGGGGAGGGGGGGAATTGCCCAGATTTCATTAAAAACACAGTTGCAGGTGGGTAGTAAATTCTCACAAGGCATCACTCTTTGTTTAACTTACTGGAGAGTAGTCCCACCAAGAACTAGCAAGATTATACTTGGGTTTTGGTTTGCAGCCTGAAGCACCCCTGAAAATCCCATTTAACAAGTTACATTTGAATTTGATGTTTAAAAAAGCAAATAAAAGATTACGGAGAAACATTTACCATATTTTTAGTCGATGGCATTTTGCCCAACCCAGGTAAGGGTTTTAATGCCTGAGGTATCGGTAGCTCCTGGATGCTTTTAGGGAAATGGGAGGGGGGCAGAGTCCGGAGGATGGTTTGCATAGCTTGAAGGTATAAAGATGGAGGCACCTTCCCCACCAGGCTGTTGAACTTGTCCTCTCCGAGCAGAAGCGTCCAGTGCTCGGGATGCTTCTGTAGCACTTTCTGCATCTTGAACCGTGGGTTAGGCATGAACAGCAAGAGGTAATCGAGGCAGAGCTTTTTTGATGCCACGTTGACTTTGGAATCCCACATCTGCTCCAGGATGACATCCAGTGGGGTGAGCCCTTTGCTGTCTTCGATCAGAGGAGAGGCCCCATTGCCTAGGAGGATGAGAACAGTCTCTGACCTCAGAAGCTCACAGGCGAGATGCAGTGGAGTCTTCCCATCTTCTAAGTGAAAACAGCCAGTCCTGTTGATGTAAGAGTTCAGGCTGGGCAGCTTGTGTGCGATGCTGATGATCAGCCCCAATATGTCTCTCCTGTCATAGGTGACGGCCATGGCCAAGTGAGGAGCCGAAGACGGACAATAGCAGAAATGATCTCCAGGGACTTTGAGAGCCTCCTCCGGAAAATGAGACAGCAGATACTGGGCATACGGTAGGTGATTATGCACCACAGCATATAGCAGGGCTTCTGAAGGTGAATACGTCCTCTGGCTGGCATCTTCTTCCCAATAAAAATACTCCATAGTCCTCATGTCCTCCAGCATCCACACAGGCTTGTGATCCCGGACAGCCTGGTAGAACATATAAGATAGGAACTTGCAGTGCCGGCTCTGGGCATCCTGTAAACTGGCCTGGTTGCTGCTGGCCATGTCTCAAAGACCGATCAACGAGGGAGCCTTGTGTGCAGAATGGAGTCTTTCCTGCAGCAGATGCAGGCGGAGATTTCGTTGGAACGCTGATTCCTAAAAGCTGCTGCAACCTTCAGACCGTCTTTGCACACAGCAGCCTGGACTGCACTCGCCAGAAAGCATCGCTCTCCTCTCTGACAGGCTGTTCATCTCCACCCATTCATTGTTTTCCCTTTCGCACTGCGTTGGCTTTGTTGAGGTAAGCACAACCCCACCAGCTCGGTTAACTATTGCCAGACAAGCCGGCAGCAGTAAATGTAATCACTTCTGTGCAGGGTATGTAGGTGCCTGGAATACTGATAAGCTCTGATTTTTCATAAGTGAAGAGAGAGCTATCTAGAGGGGACTATAATTAGCTTTGCAAGACAAGCAATTCCATGCCTGCTGCCTGGATCCAATCAGATAGACATTTTGCTATGATAAATATTATGATAGAGCCTCATGGCTTGGCCATGCATCTTAATGTTTCAGTGCTCCCAGTATGGTAGGAAAATGTGCATGATGCTGTCCCTCAGTGACAGTCCAATGTATGGAAACATAAGCTCTGTTCTTCACCTGACAGATGACTGCCTCACAGAATCAAATGATCATGAGGGGATGTGTATTCCCCACCATTAACTGCTTAATCTAACAATGGGAGTTCCTCAGAAGTATGTGCCTGAGGAATCATAGTAGTAACTAAACCTGGGTTTTCCTTCAAGGACCAACTGCTGGATAGTTCAGTGGTTTAGCCAGCCAGATGTTGGGAGGTCGATTCCTGTGCCTCCTTGACAGGAGTTGGACTCAATGATCCATAGGATCCCTTCCAGGTCTGCAGATTTAAGATTATTTTGTTGTTAAGCAAAACATACTAAATGGATCATACATAGTGGGGGAAATCCCATGCTATGACAAACAGGGAAGCACTTACATAAAATTCATTCATTTATTCAGGCATCATCTAATTTGCCCTTTGATTCCAAGATGTCGGACCACAGCCATGGGTCTGAGACAACTCTAGTAAGCTCTATAAAAGTGGGTAGGGAGATAGTTTAAAACAAATCATTCTGTTACTGGGATGGCACAGTTTTATGAGGAATATACCATTTACCCTTCCTGTCGTTTGATCGATTCACATTTGACTCCCTAATACCCAAGATTCTCTTCTTCTTCTTCTTCTTCTTCTTCTTCTTCTTCTTCTTCTACTACTACTACTACTACTACTACTACTACTACTACTACTACTACTACTACTACTACTGGTCCAGAACCTTGTATGATATACCAATAACTCAGTGGTTTAGGCTTCTGGCTAAGGAGCCAGAGGTTGGGAGTTTGATTCCCTACTGTGCTTCCTTGACAGGGTCTGGATTCGATGACCTATAGGGTCCCTTCCAGCTCTGCAGTTCTAAGATGATGATGATGATGATGATGATGAGTAGCAGCAGCAACAACAATGGTAGTAGCAGTACTACTATCAACCCTGAGGGTGTTAGGTGGGAATGTTTTTCACTATTTGTTCTAGGAAATATACTGTACAGTGTTCAGATAATTAGATAAAGAGTGTTATTTTGCTATGTTAGTGTGCAAAGGGAATTACCATTGTTATGTTTTTATGTAACTGCTTATGATTGTTGAAATGTTTAGAGCTATTATTGTGGATGTTTTTATAACAGTTCAATCCTTCAAAACAACCTCCAGTTTATTAACATTCAGGCTGTGCTTTTTAATGTAAAGCTTGACATCTTTTTCCCTGTTAACAGACATGATATTTCATAGCAATCCTGGGACATTTCCTAATGTTTTGAATTGTGGATACAGAAACACAATATCCCATATTCATAAACTGTGTGGGGTTTTTTTTTTAAGGATTGAGTTCCCTGAATTTTTAAAAACAGAAGGTTACATATCCATGCATGACACACATATTCCAAGCAGCAGCTTCCCTTACATACAAGTACTCAGTGCTTGAACTTCCCAGGAGACGAACACATGTTTTGTAATGTGGTTATTGGGTGGTGTCTGTTTGCAAACCAAGAACAGCTGGGATATATATTAAAGGACTATTTTGGACTTAAGCTCTCTAGTTTTTCACATCAAACAAGTAAAACAAACATAATCTTCAACAATTCCTAATTTGATTGGGCTAGATCTGTCAGTGAGCTGCATTTCACAAAAGCTGAAATCAAATAAAATGCTTAGCTGTTCAGGTGCCACAAAACTGTGTGTGGGTGTGGATGTGTGTTTACATCTTAGACACAAATCTAATTTTCTTTTTTTTTTTTTAGACCAGAGTGTAGATGTTTAGAATAAAATGATTTTTCCCCTTGAACACAGATTCTGGAAACTTGAAGTCTGCCTGACTTTGCCTTCAGCAAATGAAATCAGCAGTGCACATGAAACTTGTTTTCTGTTCCACCATTTTTGTAGGGGATAGGATTTGCATTAGCAATCATCCTTAACATCATCAGGTCCTTTCATGAGGGAATGAAAGGCACTGTAGTTTTTGATGGCTCAACATCAGATCCCTTTGACATCCGAAGCAGAGTGAAACAGGGCTGTGTCCTTGCACTAACCCTTTTTGGGATCTTTTTTGCTGTCATGCTGAAGCACGCCTTTGGAATTGCAACAGAAGGTGTCTATCTCTGGACTAGATCAGATAGAAAACTCTTTAATCTCTCTAGATTGAGAGCGAAGACCAAAGTCCAACTGAAATACATGCAGGACTTCCTCTTCGCTGATGATGTAGCCATTGTTGTCCACTCTGCTGAAGACCTCCAACAACTCATGAATCGTTTTAACAAGGCCTGCCAAGACTTTGGACTAACAATCAGCCTGAAGAAAACACAAGTCATGGGCCAGGGCATGGACTCACCTCCCTCTATTACCATCTCCATGCAAGAAATGGAGGTTGTTCATGAATTTGTGTACCTTGGCTCAACGATCTCTGACACTCTCTCTAGATGTCGAGCTGGATAAACGCATTGGTAAAGCAGCTCCCATGTTCTCTAGATTCACAAAGAGAGTATGGCTTAACAAGAAGCTGATGACATATACCAAAATCCAGGTCTACACAGCCTCTGTCCTGAGCACACTCCTGTACTGCCGTGAGTCCTGGACCCTTTGTGCACGACAGGAGAGGAAGCTGAATACCTTCCTTATACGTTGCCTCTGACGCATGTTTGGTATCACCTGGCAGGACAAAGTTCCAAATAGAGTAGTCCTAGATCAAGCTGGAATTTTTAGCATGTGTACATTACTGAAACAGTGACATCTACGTTGGCTTGGGCATGTTGTGAGAATGGTCGGATTCCAAAAGATCTCCTGTATGGAGAATTAGTGCAGGGAAATCGCCCCAGAGGGAGACCACAGCTGCTATAGAAGGATATCTGCAAGCGGGATCTGAAGGCCTTAGGAATGGACCTCAGCAGATGGGAAACCCTGACATCTGAGAGCACATTACCATACTCTTTCGAGACTGAAGGATGCCTAACTAAGGATTTGCATTACTTTTAGCATCAAAAGCCACAGTGAGTGTTGTGGCATCTTAAAGGCTAAAACATGTGTTGATCTTTCCTAGTGTGTAGTTCACTTCAAGGCACTAAGTAAGTATTATGCAAGGGCACACACCTAAGCAGAGGGTAGCCATACCAGTGTGCTGCATTAAAAACAGGCAAGAGTCTTGCAGTAACTTGAAGATGACTGTTTCATTTAGAACTCACTTTCCTGGAATGCAGCCCCTTTCCTTGCATGTACCTGATTAAATGGCCCACTCAGCGAAACCATTGCTGATTCAATTCTTTTTAAAACCTCTGGTTTATGAATGTGGGATATTCTGCATCTGTACAGACTATTCAAAAATCCAGGAAATGGGCCAGTATTGCTGCACAATATCATGCCACGTTGTCAGAGGGAAAAAGGATGCCAAACTTTACTTAGCAAAGGGCAGCCTGAATGTTGACAATATCAATGGCAGGTGTCGATGGTCTACATGATACCCTCTTCTGTTCACTATCATTCACAAAGTGACACCATGCAAGGGAAAATCCCAGAAGCTGACTCCTTTTTTTCATCAGTTCACCACTTCTCACCCAAACACTAAGCAATTGTCAGGCCTGTTTTTCAACAAGTGAGCAGAAGAGGGTATCTGTTTGTATACAAAATAACCAGAATTAAAAATATGCATGACAGTTATATTGGGAAATGGCTGTTTATAATTGACTCTTGAAAGTGCCCAGCGTAGGGGCTGCACGAATCGCCAGAGGAAGGTTATTCCAGAGGCGAGGAGCCACCGCCAAGAAGGCCCGGTTTCGTATCCTTTCCTTCCGGGCCTCCCGCGGCGTCAGGCTCCTCAGCCTCACCTCCTGACTCGTGCGGGTGATCCGAGTAGATGGAATCCAACCGGATCCAGTAGCCTTCAAGGGCGGACCATAGAAATAGGTCCTTGCTCCCCACGAGGGGGGAGCGCCACTGTGAGGTTACATTTTATCAGGTGGTGATCTGACCATGACAAGGGGACTGACACAAGGTCAGTCACCATCAGACCACACTCGCTCCAACTGGTGGAAAAAACCAGGTCCAATGTGTGACTACCCACGTGGGTGGGGCTGTTGACATGTTGGGACATGTTCAAGGAAGCCATGGTTTCCAGGAACTCAAGAGCTGGCCCAGTTGTCTCTGCCCACACATGCATGTTGAAATCGCCCAAGACCAAAAGCCTCGGGGATCCCAACAATGCCGCGGAGACAGAGTCGGCCACCTCCAGAAGGGAAGTGGCTGGGCCGCAGGGGGCACGGTAGCCCAGCAAAATCCCAATTCCATCCCTGGCCCCTATTGACACGTGAAGTGCCTCTAGACCCGGCTTTACCACTGAGGAACGCCTGGTAACCTGTAAGCTGGATTTGTAAACAATGGCTACTCCCCCCCACCCCTCCAGTCTACCCTGATGCTGGATGGCATGACCGGGCGGACAGACCAGGGCCAAGGGAGGACCAGCCTCCTCGGTAATCCACGTCTCTGTTATGCATGCCAGGTCTGCATCCTCCTCCAGGATAAGGTCGTGTATTACCTGGGCCTTATTGGACACAGACCTGGCATTCAGCAGCATCAGGGATACCAAAAAAATCCCAATAACAATGCCCCATAGAAAACTTAAATTAAAAGTGAATAAATAAAAATTAATAATAAATAATTAAAAATACGAAACACCCAAGTGCTAACCCCCACATAAAGTCCACATCGATCCTCCTCTGCCTCGTGACATTGTCCTTCCGACTTTTGCCCAATTTGATGTTGCTTTTGGGCTTAATAAAACTGATGTTAACTGCAATAGAGGTGTTGGAGTGAATATGTTAATCGCAGGGTATAGGGTCCAGAGAAATAAGGTCCGGGTTAACAGTGACACAGATCCTGGCGTTTCTCCTTCCCTTCCCTGGAGGGAGGGTAAGGCGAGAATGTATTTAGTCCAGGAAGTGCAGGCTAAGCAGTACGTTCCTAGAATGGGGGCCGACGCTGAAGAATCTAACATGGCGACCACCCAGCCGAGACCACAATAGGTAGCACTTTCTTCTTCTTGCAGCCCAGATCTATTCACACTCCCACAGTGGTGGTGTGAACTCTGCTGGATACTTTCTCATCAACGGGAGTTGCATGCAGTTTGCTGCTCCTCTGAGGCAGGGGATTCACTCCACTTTATGGAGTGTGTACATTCTGAAAGCACATGTATGAATTCAGACATTTTGAGAAACATTACAAGGGATCTTTGAACCACGGCAATGATGTGTCTTGACACAGATTGGGCTGGGTATATTGTATTCACATAAGAGTTATTCCACTTGGGAGATATACTGAACACATATTAAAATATACAAAATAGCTGCATTGGGGAAATAGGGAAAAATATAGTTTATTATTAGGCATCCTTCAGTCTCGAGAGACTGTGGTAACGTGCTCTAAATAGAGGACTTTGAACAGTGTTTAGTGCAGCTCAGAAGGCCAATTCAAGAGTGACAATCCCTTCCGCACTGAAGACAAATAGAACCTGTCCCTATACCTAAAGTATAGTAAAGTGGCATAAATAGCACAATTGTTTCAGAAATATTATGGGGAAATAGCAACCCAATGGAAGTAAGGCTCATAAAGAATGAGAGGGCTGTTGCTTGGAGAAGGGTGGTATTTTACAAGGATTTCCTACCACAATCAGCTCTTTCATTGAGAAGTATTGATTTAATTTCTCATTGCTTGCACTATTTACATATCACTAATTCTGAGGTGATTATATTTTCAATGATTCCTCCAAGCCTTAGAATTTTCTTTCAAGAGTAACTAGGTGGGATTCTTCCCTATTGTCTTTCAGTCTTGCTTTGGAAAGTCATCAGTCCCTGCAGAAGGGACTAATGAAAAATACCTATACATATGAATGGGATACATCAGTGCCACAGCTGGTTTTGTCTACATGGTTATACACAGGAAACAAATTATGCACAAAGTGCCCCGTCCTGCAAAAGAAAACTCACTCATCAGTCACAGGAAGAAATGGTCTAAGTTCTCCAAGTTTAGTAGAAGGGCACTTCTGAAACATGTCAAATTGAATGGTTCCAAAAACCAGCAGGAAGATCATTAACAAATGGATGATGACTGGGGAGCATGTGGCTCACTCACTGAAACAAGGCTCTGTCTTCTGATTTGCTTCTGGGCCCAATTCAAAGTGTAGGTGATGATCTTTAAAATGCTTAGTACTTAAGATCCATACACACCCAAGCTATGACAAGCTATATTTCAATATGAGTTTTTGTGGCATCAGTCATGTCAGACTAAAATCAGATTGCCCGTTTATAATCTTGCAGACCTGGTTAATCTTTTCTGACGGTCAATATATAGCCAAACAATAGAATGGTTTAGGCTTAGGGGGCTCACTGGGTGCCTGCCTGCATGATGTCGGAAGGTGCCTTGGTTTTGTTGTCAAGATGCCAATTCAGCTCCAGCTAATCCTGACCCTATTTATGTGTTTATTTGATTAACAGTTCCTGTAAACTCAAGGATGTGGCTTATTTTATGAAGCCGATCTATCTCATATTTGTTCTTCTTCTTTTTCTGCAGTCTTCAGCTTTTTCCAGCATTACTGTCTTTTCCAGTGAGTTCTGCCTTCTAATGATCTGCCCAAAGTATGACAACCTCAGCTGCTTCCAGAAAAAGTTCAGTTGACTTGGTGTGGGGCGCACTTGTATGCCTTTCTGGCAGTCCAGAGTATCCACAAAGCTTTCCTCCAGCACTGTATTTCAAAGAAATCATTTTTTTCCCGTCAGGTGCAGTTTTCACACCCATACATAGTAACTGGGATCAAATGAACCTGAAATACTCATGGAGGCAAAAATGATGAAAGTGAGGTTTTCCTACTTTTGAGACAGAATGAGAAGATAGGATTCACTGGAAAAGACAATAATGTTGGGAAAGGCTGAATGCAGCAGGAAAAGAGGAAGACTAAATTACAAGATAGGTGGACTCCCTGAAGAAACCACAGGCTTGTTTGCAAGAAACAGATGAAAAAAACAGATGCGCAGTTTGTGGGTGTTCCTAGATTCATCTCTTGAGCCTGGCCAGATCTCGGCAGTGGCCAGGAATGCATTTGTACAATTAAAACAACTAAAACACCAGCTATGTCCATTTTTTAAGGGATCTAGCCACTGTAACACATGCCCTAGTTACTTTCCAGCTGGATTACTATAACACATTCTATGCGGGGGTGCCAATGGAACATGTCAGGAAACTTCCAACAGGTCCAAAATGCAGGAGCCAGATTGCTGGGGCTGGTTACAGGGATTACACAGTCCCTGTTACAGCAGCTTCACTGGCTTCCAATCAGCTTCTGGGCACAATTCAAAGTGTTGGTTTTAACCTATAAAGCCCTAAATGGCCTGGGCCTAAGCTATCTCAAAGACCGTATCTCCCACTATGAATCAGCTTGGGTGTTGAGATTATCAGAACAGACCTTTTTTTTTTTTTTTGGTCCCATCACTTTCACTGATGTGTCTGGTGGGGACACAGAAGTCTTCTCTGTTGCTGTTCCCAGAATTTGGAACTCTCTTCCACAGGAGGCCAGGCTGGTCCATCTTTGCTGCCCTTCTGAAAGCAGGCAAAGACCTTTCTCTTCAGGAAAGCCCTTCTACATTAACTAGCTACCAGTGTATGTGCGTGCATGTTTTTAATGGATGATTATGCATTACTGCTTTGACTGGATCTTTAGTACTATTTGTTTTCCATTTTTGTATTTTCCATTTCTCAAAGTGGCATTTTAAGCGATATTTGTATTCTTAGGGTTCTTAGCTCTAATTTTGTATTTTAATAATATGATGCCTCTTTAATAACTGTTCTTAGCTTTAAATCCTGTATTTAATGAAATACTATTTTTAATGATGTCAATCACCAATGTATATTCATTATTTCCAACTTCAAATACAGTGGGGTCTTGACTTGAGAACTTAATCCGTATTGGAAGGCGGTTCTCAAGTCAAAAAGTTCTCAGGTCAAATCTGCATTTCCCATAGGAATGCATTGAAAACCATTTGATCCGTATCTGCTCTTTTCCGTCCATAGAAACTAATGGGAAGCTGCTATTCTGCCTTCGACCACTAGAGGGGGATATTTTGTTTCTTTTTTTCTTAGGTCAAGAAAGGTTCAGGGAAGGCAGGGAAAAGACAGTCCAGGCAGTACAGTACCAGGCAGTCCGAAGACTGTCTCCCAATCCACTCTCTAAACGCTGGGAGGAGTGAGGAAGCAGACAGGCACCCTTTTCACTGGCCAACAGTTAACGGAAAGTTCAAATTTTGCACTTTCCCTGCCTCCCACGTGGTTTTTTTTCAGTTCTTAACTCAAATCTAAGTATGTAAGTCAAGTCCATATTTTCCTATGAGAGCAGTTCTTAAGTCAAAATGTTCTTAACTCAAGCCGTTCTTAAGTCAAGACCCCACTGTATTGTCTTTCAATGTTGTAAGCTACCATGGGTCCTTTTCAAGGAGAAATGCAGGGCAAATATATTATTTATTTATTTAAACAAACAAACAAGAGTAGAGCGGGGCTGTTGAGGACAGGATATGCTGGAGTTCTCTCATTCATAGGGTTGCTATAAGTTGGAGGTGACTTAACAGCAAATAACGACAACTCCAATAAACTCAAAGGAAATAACATTTGAAGAATATTTTAAAAATGTAAAGCATAGAGTTGGAGACTATGCAGGGCAAAACATACTTTATTGTACTGCAACATCAAAAATACATGTAGATTACATCAAGGACTGTGCCAATGACAAGTTGCCAGGCTAGTGAAATTCAGCTGGTATAATAATGGGAATCTACTGAAGTAAAGGTTACTCACCTGAGGCACAAGTACACTATTGTTTAAGTATCCTGATTCAGCTTAGTTGCAGTACAGAAATCTACAGGTTTTCCCTCTAAGTTGCATATTAGTTACTCAAAGTTCAAGCTAAGAGGGGTGCCCAAACTGCAGCTCAATGGCCAGAATGCCACTTAAGGAGTGTGGAAAGTACAACCATAACTCCCCTTCAGTTTCTAGCAATACATGGGAGGTAGGGCTCATGGAACAAAATTCCTAAAGGCACTTGCAGTGGCACCCCATAACAATCCCAGCCACTGCAAGTGTGGTTAGAACTGAAGTAATGACCATTATTTTTCTTTCTATATGGATACTCTGTATTCCTTGCTGACTGGTAGAACTTGACAAGTTCTTAAGATTCAGTTGCAGTAAGGCAAATACCTGGTCTATGGAATATCTAGTATGAACAAAGGGGTACAAAATTGTGTTTAATCATCCACAATGCAGCTTTCAAATTAAAAAAAAATAATTAACTGGGCAGGCCATGCTGGCAGCAAAGTTTGGGCACTCCTGAGGAAGGACAGAGTCTACAGAAAGGTTTGCTCAGAAGAGCAAGATCCAGTATTGCAACACAAGTAACTGCTACAGGAAGCACCAGGTAACTCAACGACTTAAGTACAGCCATATGAGCTTGTTGTGCTGGTAAAAGCAGTAAAGGCGCAGCACCACAACAACTAAGAGTTAGAGCTTGGCATCAGAAGCAGCATTTGAAAACAAGTTGTTAGCTGTTTGAATCAGATATAGATCAGATGCCTGGTTGTAATGCACAACTGTACATGCTGGCATACCCCTCTTCCTTATAGCCAGGATTTTAACGCAAAGCTACACATTAAAGGGTGAGGGTAGCTCTAAGAACAAAAGTTGCAACCTTCCTAGCTAAGGTCAGCCAAAAAAAGGAAGGAAGAATGCTGCAGCTACAGCAATGGTTCAAACCCCATCACTACCAACACAGTTTCAAAGCAACACAAGACTGGACAGCCATTTCTTTATATTATCATCTTAAGTTACATCTGGAAACTGGGAAAACATAACAGATGTTTCCTATTAAAAAATATATATAATAGTCAATGTATCATATGATGGAAGGGGTGCTTCGGTAAATGAGGAATGGCAACAACTTTGGGTTACACACAAACAAAAAAAGAGACAAAGACAAGCACAGGCCCTGTACTATCAATGAACCCAAACAAGAACATGAATCAACGGCCAGCACAAACTGGACTAAATACTAGACCTTTTGCATTCATCACAAATTTTACTTCTTAAGCCAGCAGATCAGGTGAAAAGACTGGCTCAAAAAAGAACTAAAAACTTAGGATAGAGTTGGAAATAAATTAAAAGACACGTTTTAGATTAAAATGTCCTTTTGATGCAATTAATTTTGAAAAACTAAAATTCAACTGATTTATCTCTAACAAAAAGAAATAAACCAAATTCCTTTCCTTTCAGACAATTTTTAACTTCAAATGTTTAAATGTCTGAGACTGAAGGAAAAAAGGCAAAGTTACAACAGTCATACAACATTCTCTATGAACAACTGAAAGGAGTAAAAAAAAAAAAGGAACGTTCCATTTGAAATTCTCACAATCATTCCCTCTGTGTTGTTCATGAATCCAGCATTGATGCTAAGGTGACATTGTATGTAAGTAAATTTTTTGTTGATTTTCCTCGTTTCTAAAGTTTCAACAGAGAAAGCCTAAAGACAAGGGGATGTTCATTCATGAGTTATCAGATGGCACATGCTCCTCAAATCCCTCACTCTCTCGGACCAAAGCTCTTTCCAGGATAACGCGGCCTTCCTTGTAGCGCTGGCTGTCTTCAGTAGCAAATTCATAAATCCAGCCTAGCTTGCTGTTGCAGTTCTTGCAACTCACATCACGAACCATGTGGCGTCCGGTAAGCATGACTCGGTCCTGGACTTCACTGTACTGCAGATTTACCACCTGTGGTACATAAATGGTACAAAGGTAACTGAAGCACCTAGAGTGAGAATCTGGAAATTCTGCAATCACTAGACAACTGTGGGATTGTATAGTTTAGAACCTTGGTTTTCTTCTGTGGGCACACTATCAATGATAATATTCCTGGAGCACTGTATAAAAGCAGTATGCTGCTGCATATGGAACTCTGCTCCTGCCACTGAAGCTGTCATAGGCTTATGAACTGTTTAGAGGAAGGGAAACAAAGTAAGGTGCCATTACCCAATACAGTGGTGCCTCGCTTAGCGATTGCCTCATTTAACGATGTATTCGCTTAGCGATGAGGTTTTTTGAGAGATCTTGTGCTCCGTTTAGCGATGTTTCCAATGGGGGAATTTCGCATAGCGATGTTCGGGATCTTGCTTCGCTTAACGATGACAGTTTAGGTCCCCCTGTTTCGCTTAGCGATGTTTTTGACAGCTCCGTTTTTGCTATTTTTAAAAGGTGTTAAATTGTTTTAAAAGGGTTTAGAGTGCTTGAAATCGTTAGTGCACTTAATAAACCCTTTGTTAACCAAATTTGGCTTTGTTCTGACTCTTTTTGAATTTTTGGTGATTTTTTTCTCCCCCATTGAAATGCATTGAAAAGGTTTCAATGCATTCCAATGGGGGAACCGCGTTTCGCTTAGCGATGTTTCCTATGGCGATTTTCGCTTAAGGACGGCAATCCGTTCCCATTGCAATGGATTATCCGGTTTTCAATGCATTTCTATGGGAAAACACGTTTTGCTTAGCAATGTTTTCCCATAGCGATGAATTTTTTGGCACCAATTAAAATTGTTAAGCAAGGCACCATTGTACCAACAATAAGCATCAGTCACACCTCAAGATGCTCCCTATTCTCTCATGTCTTTCATTAGGAATGAAATGGCCATCCAAAATCAACAGGGATAGGGGAGGGACTGAATTAAAATACACTCAACCAAAGCCAATTAAGGATTATGACCTGCTTCACACACCACAGTAATTTTATTCAGTTATTTACTTGTCATTTTCCAACATTCCAAGTTAGCTTCCAACAGCTGAAACCATCAGCTAGTTCCCATTTACGTTTGTTGCAAATTCTTCAGTAATTGCTGCTTTCAGTTCACAAGTGGAACACAGTGACTAGAAATTAGACAAACCTTGGTTTAGAAGTTTGTGCTGGTTCACCAGCATGGCACCAGCATGCACATTCCCTTCCCCCACTCTCCTGGCAGGCTCCCCCAGTCACCAGCTGGCATGCACTGCTCTTCTCCTGCTCTTCATGCAATTGTCCAGTCACAATTGCATGAAGAGGAGGGAAGCTCACACTCCTGCTGTGACTGGACAATTGCGCAAAGAATAGGAGAAGCACAGTGTATGCCAACTGGTGAGCGGGGGAGCCGAGGTTTGAGCTCATTTCAATGACACTAAAGCAGTTTCAGATCCCCAACTAACCTTGTTAAATAGAAAGGCTCGTCCTGTTGCTCCTGTGAAACGGGTAGATATGAGCTCAGATCGGTTGGTCAAGATTGTGTCACAATTTGCGCAGGAGAACAGCCGAGTACCACCAATGTGATCTAAGAAAATCCTACCCATTTTTCAAGTATGCTGGAGAAAAAGTAGAATGCTAGAAAATGAGAGAAGAAAATATTGTGTCAGAGTTATAAAACATCTGAAAATGTTGTATCAGAGCACAGGAGCCTTTCCAAGAAGATCTGTTGAATACCCGCAACTGAAAGTACTCAGGTATGTGGAATGTGCCCTGCCTCCTCCAACCCTGTCCTATCAACAGAAAAGCAGCAATGGAGTTTATTTGGTGGGGGGGAAAATAACTCCACTGCTCTGTTGAATCCCACTAAATCTGCTTTTCACCAGGAAAATACAAAGACTATTGCCTTCTATATCTGACAATATCTAATATGGCCAACAGGTTCTGTGCCAACTGAGTGAGAAACGATCAGGTCACTCAGCGCCCTAAATACTTCACCGATCATCAAATATCTGAAGAACTGTCACACAAACAAGGCAACTTGTTTGTTTTCTGTTGCTACAGAGAATATGATCTTAACCAAGAGGTACAAATTACAAGAAAAAAGGTTTTCAGTTCAAGATTATTAAGAACTTTGACAATGCAAGCTACCTGATAGTGGAACAGACTTTGTTTAAGATTACAAAGTCAGATATGTTGCAGTAATGCATTTCCTACATGATAGAGGCTAGATTAAATGACCAGTAACAGAGTCTCTTACCTCTGATTTTACTCACTCTACTAATTTTTCTCAGTTTATAGTGGGGACCATGGACTAGCAAACCCACCACAGCCTTAGGGTCCCAGACCCTAAGATTAGGAAATAGTATCCTGCTTCACACAAAAATATTAAAAGTGCAAATGCACAGATGAGAATCACAGAAAGTGATATTTAAACAAATTATAATAGTGAAACAAATGAATAAAAAGCAGTTTAGAAATACATTGAGAAGTACAGCACCCTTTTATTAAGAGTGCTATCTTCAGCAGCTAACTGCCAAAGATATGCCTGAATATATATATCTTAAGTGATTTAATGATTTTTTTAAGGTCCTCTAACTTCCTAACCAGTGATGGCGAACCTATGGCACGCGTGCAACAGCTGGCACGCGAAGCCCTTTCTTTGAAGTGGCTGCAGCTGAGACTCCCCCTTTCTCTTCCTGTTCTGGCTCCTTTAATTTCCTGTCTGTCCCCATAATTCCCCCTTTAACTTCCTGTCTGTTCCTATGATTCCCCCTGAAACTGCCACTTCCTGTTCCGGTTCTGGTCTTCCAGGCGGCATGGCAGCCACTGGTTTCTTCCCCACCCCCTCATTTTGGGCACTTGAGCAGAAAAAGGTTTGCCTCCACTGTAACGTATGTCATGAAGAATGGAACTTTTGTGTAAGGGAACAAAACCTCCCTCCATGTTTTAGAAGTCTAAATATTCCACAGGCAACAGACCAGAACAATCTTCCTCTACTAAACAGAGATACACTTAAAATAGATGGGCATTAGCTCAGACTACAGAAAATGTAGCATTAACTACATATACCACAAAAAACAAACAAACAAAAACACCTACGTGGAAAAGTTCCACATTTCTAGTAATGTCTGAGCTTTAACATTTAAATAGTAAGGCACCCACCCCCCCATAACCACGGGAGATTGGTTTCAACCCCCCCTCCCGTGGATCCTACAAAATATGGATTATAGCAAACACTATTTTAAAAACAAACACTATGCATAGCATAGTCTCTGGCTCCTTCTACTGGCCACATCTTGAAACTTCATCTTTTAAAAAATATATTTCTAAAAACTTTCTTTTAATATTTACAGACAGTGGATAAGTGAATCAATGAAAAATGATCCTGCAAATACGGGGGTCCTACTGTATTAACATCTAAATAAAAAAGCATTTGACAACAGAGAGGGAGTTTTCCCTTTAACAATTTAGATGGTAAATTTGGTTTATTATGAATGATAGCAATCTTGTCTGAACAATGCATCTACTATCTACTACTGACTAATCTATCTTGTTTTACCAACTTCTACTAGGGATAGTATGCCTAATAAAATCTACAGTCTGAATCCATATGGCAAAGTGACCAACAGTGTTTCTATTGGTCACTAACTTTAATATTCTAGTTAAAAGTTAGAACTGTCATCCTGTAAAAATGACACAAATAGAAAACTTCATTTTAGCAGTGTGTTCAGGAGTCAGAGAAGGACAAACTATGATAACTGCATTAAAGCTTTATCTTATATACAGTAATTACCATAATCACACACAAAGCAACAGTAATGATAGTACAATTACTCTTGAATTGGGCATATAATTAACATTCATAGCAAAGGTGTCTCAATCCAAACAACAGGTGAAAGAAATGAATATCCCATTAACTTTTAATTCAGTAGGTTCACTCTGAGGTTTTTCTTTGAAATCCCTTTATCCATGAATGGCTACCTTAATGTCAGCAAGAATACACCAGTTAGTTGAAATATTCCCAAACTGCCTTCTGACTATTGATATTTCTGGCATAAGATTTGTGCTCATTTATTTATTTTTTTGTAGACTAATCAATTTGTCTTGAACAGAACATCACTGCTGGTACATGAGGAGAGTATAGTACAAATGAGCAGATAGCTGACATGCTGTGGCCAGAGATGAATATTGGCACCACAAGTGCTTGGCAAAAGCAGACCCTTCCCCCAGAACTGGCTGGTCCACTTACTGCTCACCGTGCAATGTTCACAGCCCGTGTCATTCCTGTTGTGCTAACTATGGAGGTAGCCTAGCTGAGTGGTGATACTCATCATCCTGTCTCATTGCCAGTGTGGCTGGCAGTGGAGGGTGGCAGGCAAGCACTGGCTGGGCTACTTCCGCAATTGGTGTGATGGGAACAACACTTCTCATGCACAGTGAGCTGTAAGTGAACTCTAGCTGGAAAGTGACAAGAAAGTATTATGGCCTAAGACATTACATTGGAGAGACATTAGATGGGTGCTATAAGTAACAAATCATGTTTAGTTGCTTTCCGTTCTAGTACTAGATCATTTAGGAGATTAGTACCCAAGAATAATCTGGCCTTGCTGGTTTGCTTCTCATTTAACTCTGATGTGAATTTTATTAACCAATGCCTGATGTAAGCCCCTAAGTTGTGAGTCTGATAAGTCAGAACAGGGGTCTCCAAACTTTTCACATAGAAGGCCACATAATATATTTTTGAGGGCCGAAGGAGTGTGCGCGTATGTGTGCATACACACACTCTGGCTCGCCTGCCTTCCCACCCATCTGTATGGACAGGCCAGATTAAAAAAAGCCATGGGGCCAGATGTGGCCCGCGGGCTGTAGTTTGAAGACCCACGAGTTAGAATAAACATGGCTGTAAAACAACGGGGGTGATGGCATGTCCTGGTGAGAATATGGAAATCTGCATGGCAGCCAGGAGTTTCTGATACAAAGTATTGCTTAAGTCTTTATTTAGGCCCAAATTAGAACATAGGAAATGTGGCTGCTATGTTGACTTGATCTATTCAAATTGTTGAAGTCTTGATAGCACTCCTTAAACAACTCTTATCCATATATCCAAATGAAAAAGATGTCAGTTGCTCAGGAAGAGAAAAGACCTTTCGGCACAAGTACTGAAAATGAATTGCAGAAATGATTCATCACTACAAAGTACATCATGACTTTCCTTTCATCTTTTACTGTCAATTTGGCTAATCTTCTGGCTATATCTAGAGTTTAGATAAAAAGTATATTAAAACTAGGCCATGTAGATATGCCAATGAGTATTAGTATTGTTCTCACTCTGAACTGCGGGTACATTTTAGAAACTGCTTGTATTGAGATCAGGGATGGAATGAAGAGACCAGTAAAGTTGATCCAAATTAAAATTCTTGCTCAAAAGATAGAATTATCCACCAAAAAGTAGTACAGTAGTCTATACTGAGTGTCTATACCCTGGACAGAGAATAAACTTTTCCCTTCCTATCAGATAGTGCAGATATTATTGATGTTTTACCAAGTCTTGCTTTTCTATGTTCAGTACCAAGTTGTGCAGTCCTTGAAAAGCATAAGAATCCAAGCCAAATCTGTGTAATAGTGCACAGTATTTATTCAAAAATATCTACAAAATATTCCTCCCTTTCAGTAGTTCATGTGTTAACTGTTCACTGGCTACTCATCTACTGCCCAATGGCTTGAAAAAACTTTTTGCTGTCCTGTTACTCCATCCACCACCACTGAAACTCCCCAAGTGTAGAAGTATATGAAGAAAGTTCAAAAGAACTCCTTAACACCATGTTTGAGGCATTAAAAGTTCTGTTTTTCTGACCCCACAGGAAACACAAAAGACAACAGCAACACTTGAGACTGTATACATACTTTATTGAGTTTTGTCACAATAGCGATGCTGCTGCTGCCCCCATTATATCTTAGTTGCAAAAAGTGTTGGCCTATAAAGGTATTTTAGGAAAAAGCACAAACATAGCATTGCTTAACATAGTAAATTGCAACTAGAGTAGTGAATCAGTGTAGATTTGGTAAGTTAATTGATCCATAATTTCCTCCAAACCAATGGACATACAATGTTGCAATTTAGTACACTAAGCACCAGGATTTCAACCAGTAGGCCAGATGCAAGAAAACTCCTGCATCTCAAATGTACCAAACATTTTATTAGAAGCAAGTGAAAATCAATTATCCTAGAGATATCATCAACAAGAAAATAAACAAGCATCTGCAACTTTGTTTACGGTAAATATAAGAACTGCTTCCAAGGAGGAACCTATTTGTCAACTGAAAAAGTCTGGTGAGTGATGATGGCAATTTTATAGGGTATTTTCAAAATTGAGTACTATTAGAATACTTCTGATATATGGTCACAACTATGATTGAAAGTGACCAGAAAGGACTGCTTTTCTAAAGTGGAACAGCATAGAGCCTGCCTAAAATATGAGAGCTCAAACAGAAGATGTAACAAAGGCTTGAATTGTGGGACCAGAAAAACAGAACTCTTAGATGCCTAGAGTGGGGAAGGTGGGCCAGATGGGCATGGTATAAATCAAATAAATAAAGAAATAAATAAATTGAATTAACAGTTATCCACCATTGTCCTTTGACCATTCCCTATACTTAAAACTAGGGGGAGGTTTTCTATGGCATTTCACATTTTCTCTGCAATCTACATTTGACCCCATAAACAAGTTCAAACATGTTTATAAGTAATCTGGCCTTACAGTTTTGAATTACTGCCCTCATCTACAACTACACTGCCAGACAATCTCTGAAGTTCAGGAGAAATAAGAAATATTTTTCCTTAGCCTAAATACATTTCTGTCTCCCCACTCTTGCATTATAAAACTCAATGCAGCGCCCAAAGAAGTCTCAGATAGTCTCCAAGCTAGGTGGTCTTAGAGTCAGGCCAGTATCATTTACCTTTAGATTAGGGGTGGACTACAGGCCCCATCTGCCCTGGCCAACATAGCCAATGATAAGGAATAGAGGAAAATGTAGCCCATCAATATCTGCAGAGCTAAACCTTCCCCTTCTCCAGCTTTAGATGTTACTTTAGATGTCATGGAAAGGGTATGTAATTGGAGACACATCTCTTGTTTCTCCTAATATCGTGAAGAAAGACCTGTTCACATACAATGTTTCAAAGCACAGAGGTGGAACCTTTGGTCTTCCAGATGCTAAATTACTACTCCTATCACACATTACCATTTGACTAGTCTGAATAGGACTGATGGGAAACTGAATTCAACAGCATATGGAGGACCAGTCTCTGATTCATATTTCATCCCAGGCTGCAGCTCACTGGCTAAATTTAGGCCAGTTTTCCTCCTCTACCAATTATTCATTAGCTCGTCTTATACGGCTGTTGTAAAAAACATGAATTTTTTTAAAAAAAAGAAAAAAACTTTTTAAGAGGTTTTCCCCCTGAACATTCTGATTCAAGTTCTATTTGAGCCAGCTATTGATTTCAGTGAAATGCTAACAAATCCAGAAAAACTATTCCTTTTGAGTTGTAGTGCTGGATAAAAATATTTGGATTCAATGGGGAAAGAAGAAGAAGAAGCAAAGCAAACACAAAAGCCCTAAATGACACAAAAGTTTATGTTGCTGCATAAAATACTTTGTCAGTTGATAAATTCCCAGGGATGGGGCTTCGGTTTTTAAAATTTCCATTTGCAGGTATTTACACATTTACCAGAATACTGAATAAAAAAGAAGCCATTAGAAGCAAAAAAAAGAAAAAGAAAAAGAAAAGGAGGAGAGTGAAACAATCTGCTGCAGGCTGATAACATTTTAATCACCCGGTCAGCTGCTGTATTTGGTAGACAGTACAGTAGAGCTGAAAAAAATGAGGGAAGGCACAGCACCATGACTGCAGCATAATCCTCCTTCCCACCACTGCAGAACACTGCAAGAACAGTGTGCTTCCCTACCGCCTCCCCCAAAACACCAGGAACACAAAGTCCTAGAATCCTATTATCCAAACATTGAACAAGAAGACGGTAGTCGAGGAAGGGGAAAGCCCTGAGTCTGGTCACATGACTTGCAGCATCCAATTAGAAGCAGCTCTGCCAATGTCTGGCTTGAAAAGGGGGCTTTTCCAGAAGCACAGGCGATTTGACAACAAATAACAGAAAACAGCTAACAAGAGAGACCTGTGGGCCTGAAGTCACCAGCCGGAGACAAGAGCAACAGCCTTACAGCATTTTCTCCCACCAACTCTCCTTCAAGACACTGCTCTGTTTGGCAACCTTTTATCTCACAGATTCACTGCCACAACTTAGGGTAACAAGGCTGAAGCTATTTACAGGGTGTGGGGACTTGACTGATCCCAACTTCCAGAATCCAAGAACATGCCAGGGCACCAACCACTTGAGCAGCTCCTATGCTTGGCATAAAGGCAAGCACGGGAAATTAGAATTATCAACCCATCCCAAAACATGTCTTGAACCAGGAGAATGAGATCGAGACCGGAAACAGAAAGAGACCGGAAGAGGGGGGAGGGGTTGTTTTTGGAAGGTCTTGATTTCCCTAGGCACACCCCAAGCACATAATCTTCGACCGTCCGGAAAGAAACACAACAAAGCCAGCTTTCTAGAGGAGTAAGTGGGAGGGAAGGAGACACAGGCGAGGGAGAGGAAAAGAGGAAGCTGATTCCCCCCCCCCAGGAACTTCCACCGACACACTTACACAGGTTGCGGTTGCAACAATATTAGGCGCCGTTTAGGCTCTGTGGCAAAAGAAGGCCGGAGAGCGGACGGTGCCGGCAACAAAAGGCGCGCCCCGTGTGGGTTGCGGGCGAGACCCGGACAGGAGTCGGGAACGCGGCGGCGGTTAAAGCCGAAGCTGCGAAGCTAAAGAGAGCCTCTGTTATTATTGCGACGACGAGGAGGAGGATGCGAGGGGAGGGGAGGGGAGAGAGAAGGCGCAGCGACGGCGAGAGGATGCGAAGGGAGGAGGAGGAGGGGGCGCCAGAGGGCGCGGCCCCCCCCCCGGTGTTATTGTGTGCCCCATTGTGTGTTATTGTGAGAACGCGAGGGAGGGGCCGGGTTTTTTGTGTGGGGTGTGTGTGTGTGAGACTGAGAGAGAGGCGGAAAAAGAGTCAGAAAAATGTGTGTGGCTGTGTGGGAACACAGAGGGACGCCTGGGAAAAGGGATTCGCGGGCGACTCTCGTAAGCAGTGGAAGAGGCCGTCCAAACACAAACACACATAAACACACACAACCTACCTCTGGCTGTGGAGGGTGCCCCCGTGACAGGAAGAACGGCTCTCCGGCGGCCTAAAGCCGAGGTAGTGCACCTGAGGTGAGAGGAACGGGAGGGGAGAAGGAGACCCGACCGCCGCCTCAACAACTCGCTTCCCCCGCCCCCCTCCTCCGCCGCCAACCTGCCTGCCTCCCCTCCCCAAACACCCCCTCAGAGAGTCTCTCACGCCCCGAGCCAACAACAGGCGGTACCTGCGGCCGGAGAGTGATCACACGACCGCCTGAAATGAGGGAGGAAGGCAGGCAGCTCCCGAAGGGCCAAAGGATTGCGAGAGCTCCGCGAGAACCTCCCGACAACTCAGCTGAGACACTCGCTCTCCTCCGGCCTTCTCTGTCCCCCTCCCCCCCGTCTGGCTCCGCCCAAGGCCACGCCCCCGGCCGTGCCACTCACCGCCGAGCTGACGGGCGGCCACGCCCCAAGAGCCAGCACGTGCCGCCGCTCGCCCCGCCCAAGTCCGGACGTCTTAGGAGCGCACAAACACTGGCGCCACGTGGATAAGAAAAGGGAGGAGCTTCTGTAAAGTGATGGGCAAAGGCTGGGTTTAAGTTGAGCCGAGCTAGTGGAGGCGTCAAGGCTCGATTGCTCTCTCTCGCTTGGCTGGTGACGTTGTTTGTGGCTGTTTACCAGCAGGGGATGAAGACTGTATTATGATTTTATGGTTTTTTTCAGAGGTAACGTCAACGCACTGTGCGTGAAGTGCTTTTGAAGAGTGCTGGTTACAGGGAGCTATACAGTACTGTTACCTTTGAAATATTTCAAAGGTAACAGTACTATATGATTGTTGTGCCGTCAAGTCGGAATCGACTTCTAGCTACTCTTGGGCTTGGTATGTGAAAAATTTAATGTGTGGCTTTACCAGCTCCACACACCCTAACTAAGTTTCCATAGCTGGGCAGGGTTTGGAACCCAGGGCTCTTGGGTCCTAGCCTGTCACTATCCCCTCCCTCAGGCTGGGTCATTGTGTGCTATCAAATCTAATTTACGGCACACTTTTTAGAGTTTCCTAGATGGAGAGTACTCAGAAGTGCAGTTTGCCCAAGGACGAACAGGCTGGCTTATCTGGGATGCACAGTGAGGAACTGAACTCTTAGTTACCTAATTAGGCAGCCAGTTACCTAGTTTACTAAGAGGGAACATAAAATCTGCATTTTATAAAAGCACAGATGGTTGCCAGTCTGTTTAGGGACTCAGTTGCAAGTGCTGGTTATGACCTAGAAAGCCCTTAAAGTGCATGCTTGAACCTTCTTGGCATTTAAGTTCTTCTCTCAGCTGCATCACCATCTCAGGCTCATTTGGTGAAGGCATGTGAGAAGGCCTTCTCAGTGGCTGCTCCTAGGCACTGGGATGCACTGTCCCAAGAAGCCAGCTCAGTTTTGCTCTTATTTATTTATTTCTTTATTTTATAGGCCCCCCTTTCGCCTGATAAGGGGACCTCAGGCAGTTCACAATATTAAAAAGAACAGAATTATAACATTATAACAAATGTATGCTAATTAAAATACAGTTGAATAATTAAAAGGGACATGGTGGCGCTGTGGGCTAAACTCCAGAAGCCTCTGTGCTGCAGGGTCAGAAGACCAGCAGTTGTAAGATCGAATCCACATGACGGAGTGAGCGCCCGTTTCTTTGTCCCAGCTCCTCGCCAACCTAGCAGTTTGAAAGCATGCAAATGCGAGTAGATAAATATGTACCACCTCGGTGGGAAGGTAAAACGGCATTCCCTAGTCACATTGGCCACGTGGCAACGGAAGCTGTCTTCGGACAAGCGCTGGCTCTACGGCTTGAAAACGGGATGAGCACCGCCCCCTAGAGTCGGACACAACTGGACTAAAAAATGTCAAGGGGAACCTTTACCTTTAAACATTAAAAACTATCTTAACTTTTAAAAGGCACTCAGGGACTCAATCATGATTGTTAAAGCCTACCTGAAAAGATGGGTATTCAGCTGTTGGTGGAAGGAAAAAGGAAGAAAGCCAGCCTGATTTTCGAACAGAAAACACTCCGTAACCTGGGAGTTACAACAGAGAAGGCCCTCTCTTGTGCCCCTGTCAACTGTGTCTGTGCTTGCATTGGGACCAAGAGGACGGGCTTGTCTGATGATCTTAAACACCAAGAAGGCTCATATGGGGAGATATGGTCCTTCAGGTAGCCTGCACCCAAACTATATAGGGCTTTATAGGTAATGACCAGCACTTTGAATTGGGCCCAGAAACAGACTGGTAGCTAATGCAATTGTTGTAACAGGGTGTTATATGCTCCCTGTAACTGGCCCTAGTCAATAGTACGGCTGCTGTATTTTGAAGTTTCTGAACTGTCTTCAAAGGCAGACCCACATAGAGTGTGTTACATTAATACAAGCAGGATGTAACTAAGGCATGCATCACTGTTGTTGTTGTTTAGTTGTTTAGTTGTGTCTGACTCTTCGTGACCCCATGGACCAGAGCATGCCATGCCCTCCTGTCTTCCACTGCCTCCCAGAGTTGTTCTCCTTGCAGTCCAGGGGACTCTCAAGAGCCTCCTCCAACACCATAATTCAAAAGCATCAATTCTTCGGTGGTCAGCTTTATGGTCCAGCTCTCACTTCCGTACATCACTACAGGGAAAAACATAGCTTTGACTATTCGAACTTTTGTTGCCAAGGTGATGTCTCTGCTTTTTAAGATGCTATCCAGGTTTGTCATCACTTTCCTACCAAGAAGCAGGCGTCTTTTAATTTCGGGGCTGCTGTCACTATCTGCAGTGATCATGGAGCCCAAGAAAGTGAAATCTGTCACTGCCTCCATATCTTTCCCTTCTATTTGCCAGGAGGTGATGGGGCCAGTGGCCATGATCTTAGTTTTTTTTGATGTTGCGCTTCAAACCGTTTTTTTGCACTCTCTCGCCCTCATTACAAGGTTCCTTAATTCCTCCTCACTTTCTGCCATCAGAGTGGTGTCATCTGCATATCGGAGGTTGTTGCATCACTGTAGCTAGGTATAACTGGTGCACTAGTTTTAACTCGAAAAGCACTCCTGGCCACCGCTGAAACCTGGGCATCCAAGTTCAGGCATGAATCCAGAAATACCGTACACCCAAACTCTGAACCTGAGTTTGTACTTCTGTCATCACACAAAGACCTTCCTTTTTAGCCACACTTTTAAGCAATAGCTAGAGGTTTTAAGAATGCTGCGTATATGGATTTTGGAGATTTTTAAATTGATTTTAATGATGGTTTTAAATACTATTTGGTTTGGATTTTAAGTGTTGTTTCTTATTGTGTTTTTAATGTTTTTGTAGTGTAAGCTGTCTTGAGTCTTGAGAAAGGTGGCATATTGAATGAATGAATGGGCCCTGGGGTGTGGAGTTGAAGCTTTCCTTAGACTATTCTGGGGAGGCTGAAGTCTCTTGTTATGTAAAATTAAACCAAGGTGCCTATGTAACTGGGACCAGTTGTACCTTTTCCTCCTCTGATTGCTGGGCAACCTTCAAGACAATTCCAAACTTTTTTGTGTGTGTGTGCTTGGTTGATTTTAAAACACTTTTCATTTATCATTCTGGGCTTAAAATGACTGCACTATGGAAAATTACCTCACTCCCCTATAATTATATGTATTGCAAGGAAAGATCAATTATGATGGGCAAGCTGTCAGAATTTTTTTTCCTGCCATTATCTATTTTGTTTGCTGGAATACCACTACAAAATCCACTATCCTAGATCAAAATAACCTCAACAGATGGGAAACCTTGACATCTGACTGTTCAGCCTGGAGATAGGCAGTGCATCACGGCCTCTCCCAATTTGAAGAGACCCTTGTCGAGCAGGGCAAGGCAAAGAGGCAGTCCCCAAAGCAGGGGACAGATTGTATTTGTCTTCAGTGTGGAAGGGATTGTCACTCTCGAATTGGCCTTTTCAGCCACACTAGATGCTGTTCCAAGACCTCCAAACAGAGGCCTTTACCATAGTCTCTCGAGACGGAAGGATGTCTAAGAAGATTAAAATAAATATTAGAAACAGTTTTCGCAGATGTTAATAAAAACCTGTATTTTCAGTACATAACCATCATTTCAAAAACTAAAACAGCAAACTATAATGATCAAGTTTCCCTCTAAGGTGGGCGCATGCATGTGTGTCTCTGCCTCCCTGAGTGCAGCTGTTTTCCTCCTTTGCACAGCAATTGTGTTAGGTTCCGGTTGTGCCGGAACTTGGATGGTGGGGGTGGAGTTGTGCATGCAGAGGCAAAGTTGTCTGGGTCGAGCCCCACCCAGCAGGGCTGAAGATTAGAGGGTACGTTGATCATCATCATCTTTGAGTGTCTGAATGGGGCTGCCAATGTATCTGAAAAATGTTCCTCAGCTCTGCAAACATTCCCCACCTCTGATGTTAGCCAAGTAATTTACAAACATGCACCAAGAGGGCAGTATATGTGATTCAGTTTAAGGATGCTGAGTGGAATGGATGTAAGAAATGCTGGACAGATTTGCAGTTTAGTTATTCTCTTTGAGGTGTAGAGCAGGGGTCATCAACCCCCGGTCCGCAGCCCACTGCCGGTCCTCGGGCTGGCCGAAACTGGGCCGTGGACATGGATCTCTGCCTCCTCACTCTGGGGGTGGGTCACCCTCATAGGTGGGCATGTCTCACTTGCTCGTGGTAACCGTTCCCCCAGTGCCCCTTGTGGGGCAGCCCACACGGGAAGTGCTGACACCCGGCCATGGGGCTCAGCACCACCCCACCCAGGGCAAGCGGATGGGCAGGAGCGTGCGCCAGCGATCCGACTGCTTCCTGCCTGGCCAACCCTTCCCCGGAAGAGGTGGGCCAGGCTGGATCGCATGGGACACTGCTGCTCGTCCACAAAACTCCTGCCTTCTGGGGCTTCCCGTCGAAGCCTCGCTCCCACCCTTGTGGTGGCGACACGGCCACCCACCCATGCCGAAGTGAGGCTGGGCAGCCACTGCCCCGAAGAAGGAAGGACCGATGGGCGGATGGATGGGCAAGCGAGCGACACAGGTGCGGAAGGCATCCTTAGGTTCCCACCTATATCACCATCCCTGGGAAGAGGAGCCCGGTGCACCCCTGCCCCATTGCCCTGGGACCCCTGACAGAGTGGGAAGAGGAGGCGAGTGGGAATCCCTGCATGCCAGTGCCTGCCTCCCATTCAGTGCTGTTGCCTCTCCCCTCCGCTCTGCTCTCCCCGGGCAGCCCTTCCACCCACAGGCCGCACCATGATGGACCTTCCAGGAGAGAGCCCTGCTAGGACAGGGAGAGGCAGCATAATTTGAAACATTATGAATGGCTAGACCAAGGAGCTGATTTGTTTTCTCTCTTGTTTCCTAGGGCAGTACAGCCACTTACTTTATATATATATTTGAAAAATATTATCAATACAT